GATAATGTTTCCAAGTTTTTGCAAGTCCTATTACAATAGGGATGCATATTGCATAACCAAGTGTTGGACCAACTAAGACACTCGTATACATGATTGACCGTTCTATACATAAAGGACTGGAGCTTTCGATGTTAGGATAGAGTTTTAGACTGAGAAGCATGTTCCTGAAAAAGTACTGCATACTGTTTTATTTACCATGACTCACACTTGGTGTCCATTTTACTTACTAGTTCGGGTGGGGATATCAGTTATAAGACTACATGAACAATTCTATTATTAGTCAGTCTCAATTATGAATCCACGCGATAACGACGTTTCCTCAGTCAGCAGCTCTGATGAGTATTATGGGGACCAAGATAATATGTGGAAAGTTGAAACTGGCTGGATAATTTTAAATTTAATCAGAAAAGGGAGAATATTACGTAGAATCAATTTTGATGGAAACCCATTGAGATTAGAAGTTAAAACTGAAAGAAAATTTGATAAAATATCTGTACAGCTTTTAGATGGTAGAGCAATGATTAGTAGTGGAATATCAATGTCTGAAGTTTTGGAAAAGACCAATGTCTTTTCTGACTATAGAATACTAGATATACTAGTTTACAGTAAAGACGGTACTAGTGAACGAGAGTCATTTTGGGTGGAGCCATGTGATGATTGGAAGGATTTAGACGGTCCATACGTTAGTTTGGATGAATTAGAAGAAATTGAAAAAAACGACGTAGATTATGTAATAGTTAAATTCAGACAGCCCGGGCACGATATGTGTTTAGAGGATAGTGAGGAGGAAGAAGACAGTGATGAGGAAGAGGAAAAAGAGAAAGAGGAGGATGATGAACCTAAATTAAAGGCAATGAAACTTGATAAATAATGTTAGTTGACAAAAACCGTTAAGGTTCTTAAAAACAATTTTTTTAACATGTAGGGAATACATTGGTAGTGAAAATTGCAAATATACTGTTTGAAGTATAATTACTACCAGTGTTGTTCAAATTATTGTTCATTTGTTATTCTAACACCACATTCAAGCGGTAATAATCATAATAGTGCAGAGTTTGATAAAAACCTCTGTAAAAAATTTAAAATTAAAATTTATGTTTTACCAGAAATTAGACAAAATTTATATTTATCTAAATAAATAAAATGATAGCTGTGAATTAAATTTTTTAAACTAAAGATTGGAACTTTGGATATATTTATAGGTGATGAAATGTTTAGAGGTTGTTTTAAAAATTAACACAATGATAGGAGAGGGGGAACTAGAAATCTAGAATGATACAATATGGTGAACTAAAAAAAACATGATTTTTTGTATCTTTCTTTCATTTACATTCAACCAGTGCAGATGTTTCAACACAGGCTTTAGAAGAGACACAGATAAGAATGCTATATCCTTTTGGCATTAACTATAAAGCCAGGAGAATTGACTGAAATTTAATCATTTGAAATGGAGACAGCGTGGCAGTCAAAAACAAATGATATAAATGATGCTAAAATAATAAATCTTACTATGAGATTTGCAGAGCTTAAGATAAGTGACGATACAAATCGTGTAGAGATCACCTTAGAGAAATGTAAGCCTATGGTGGTGGAAGAGGAGGATGACATAAATCCCTGTTATGACACCGTGAATCTTTAATGACACCTCTCAGTCACAATCACGAACCCCTCCAATACAATTGTCAAAATAGAAACCATGTGACAGTTACTTTCACAGGAACAAAAAGCTCTCAAAGGAATTATAACTGACAGTTCTAAATAGCTGTGAGTAGTATACCTCCACAAGTGATCAGTAAAGGGGCGGGGGTGGTCGGCATTCAGTTGAGGGCATCCCCGTCATGGCTTGAACGGACTTGTGAGGGTTGTAAATAATTGCACATAGTATACCACTGATGGTGATTAGTAAAGGGACGGGTGTGTTCGGCATTCAGTTGAGGACAACCCCGTGTTGGCTTGAACGGACTTTCAGTGGTCGTTAAATAGAGTATACCTCCATGGGTGATTAGTAAAGGGGTGGGTGTGCTCGGCATTCAGTTGAGGGTATCTCCGTGATGGCTTGAACGGATCTATGGAGGTTATTAATATATTTACTCAGCAGCACTAAAGGGAGGTAGCAATTTGCCTGCGGTTGGCTACCACCGTAAGTGGGCGTTGTTGGGGCCCCTTACCCCAGAGGCTAGGACTACAGGTGATGCTCTGGGTAAACAAAAAGAACGCACCGAGGCCCCTACCCCTTGGGTGGTGTGGAAACGTGGGCCATTTATTTAAGCTTAAGATAAAATTTGTATGTTTGTTTGTTGTTTCAGTGTTTGTCTTGGTTGTGCTCCGTCAGTTGATCTGGCATTTTAACACAGGTAGACGATATTTTCCAGGTTATATTTATGATACTAACTGAAATTGTGTCTGTAAACATTTTCTCCCAGAGGTTATGACTATATTAGTGATGCTCTAGGTTAACAAAAAGAACGCACCGAGACCCTTACCCCTTGGGTGGTGTGGAAACGTGGGCCATTTATTTAAGCTTATGATAAGATTTGTATGTTTGTTTGTTGTTTCAGTGTTTGTCTTGGTTGTGCTCCTTCAATCAGTCTGGCATTTTAACATATCAGGTAGACAATATTCTCCAAGTTATTTTGGTGATACAATCTGAAAATGTGTGTGTGTAAACATTTTCTACCAGAGGTTAGGACTATATTGGTGATGCTCTAGGTTAACAAAAAGAACGCACCAGGATCTGTACAGCTTGAACATTACAGTCTATTGTGGTGTGGAAACTTGGGTCAGTAAGGCCAGTGATAGGAACATCGGTTATAGATACAGAGTTTGTATAAATACGAGGCGGTCTTGAAAACCGATCTGTACTTCCACAATATGTTAACCACTGCAGTTGTTTTCCATATGGCTATATGCTGCCTGATGGCCACTCCCCCTCCCCCTAACAGACATGTAAGTATCCTCCGTTCCTGTGAGTCTTTATCAATATTTGTGTAATTTATTATTGTTAATATATTTATATTTTTTATAGCCATACAGAATGTTGAGACCTTCATCATCTGACGAGGAACTATTGATGGCTGCAGAAAGAATGGAGGAGGGAATAAATATCTCACCTCTGAGAAGACCAGCAAGGAGGACTCCTGGAGCCGAACGCCCAGTAACACCAAGGCCTCAGGAGTCAGCAACCTTCCTCACAGAGTCTGGGTCACTTCTCCAGATTGAGAATGTAGGTGTTATAAAATGCGGGTTTTATAATGTTGTTTTTTACAATTTGGTATAGATAGTTATTTCAACTGCGGATATTGATTTCCAGCCTTCGTTGATGACCGGACCTGTACGTGGGAGGTACCTCTCTCCTTCAGAGGCATCTGAAAGACTTGACAGGATGCTGGTGGGGGGGCATCTCCACTACCAACACCTTCATAAATGGATCTCCAGCAAGGATTATAAGATCCTTAGTAAGTGTGACAGGAAAATTATTTCCATATCATTGAGTTTTGTTTATTAAATTGTGTCTGTGTGTGTGTATGTGTGTGTGGATTAATGCTATTATATTGTTGTTTTTATGTTATAGTCTAGAGGCGTGTTTAGACCTGTACAAAGTCCAGGAGCCATTGGTCTTTCAGTAGGAGAAGGCCAAAACATTTCTAACCTGTTGTTCTCGGATGATAGACAACACTCCCCTGACCCATTTGAGTTTCCTCGCAGACCTGTGGTGAGTTGTATTTTACAAGATTAACTTATATGTCTGAAATACTAACTACACTATACAGTTTGTCTAACTTTACACTTTGTCTTTTAGAACACCCCTGACGAGAACCGGCTACCATCCAACATGTTTACTGGATCAAATCCCGCCAGAGGGTTTGCCACAAGTACCCCACACCGTCAGGCTACATTTAGACCCATCGCACCAGAAGCACCCCCTCGTCGAAGACTGTTTAACCAATCAGAGGTAAATTAACTAGTATTACAGATGTCAAATATAAATTTTATATATTATGTTAGATTATGTTATGATTATGGTATATGTACTTTTTACAGGATGTGTATATAGCAGCCCTGGACCCTCATAGGTACGTTCCCCAACCAGAGAGGAGGTCAAATACACCCAGATGGGGGCTCTGCCAAGTGTGTGTACGTCAATTGAGGCCTGCATGCGAGGAAACAATCCTGTCCAGCCTACTGGAGGAGGAGAGTCTACGTGTGGACAGCCTTTTGCGGGTAAGTTTTATGTTGTCACATCCTGTCTTTTTATTAAATACTCTCTCTCTCTCTCTCTCTGTGTGTGTGTTTGTGTGTGTTTGCGAATTTTAAATACCTATATTATATTTGGTTTTCTTCTTTTTTTTCAGAGTGAGGAAGCTGTTGCTCCTCTATGGCAGTCACATGGGGCCGTAGATATATTGCTGGATTGGATGATAATTCTAGCTGGAACATTAGGAACTCTAAATTATTTCTTTGTTGAAGCTTCTGAACAACAGTGGTGTACCTTAGCACCAACTATCTGGCAGGACCTATATCAGAGACTAAGTGCTTCTCTAGGAGCTTCCAGTGATAGGATGGCCTTTCTGGCAGAGAGTCAAGGGGTGTACAGGTTTGATGTATCACCAACTCCTGTACAACCCGATACACCTGAAAGGGATCGACCTGTGTGTATGGTATGCCTAGATAGGAGGCCAACAGTAGCACTTAGGTCGTGCGGACACGTGTTTTGCGGGACATGTGTCATTAGGATCCGCAGATGTCCTGTGTGTAGGACAGCTGTTATTGGACGTTTACGTCTATTTTTCTAAATCATATAATAGTCCAGCTTTATAAAACTCTTATTTTCATTACTAATTAACATAATTTTAGTCACAATAGTTACATAACATCTAGGCGCTCCACAGTTGACGCACAAGCTTATCATCTGTGGTGGGGGAACCGTCCACTATAAAAGCCCCACCCAGAAGTCCATCTGAATTAGTGTCTTCAGCTTACTCATCTAGACATCACTCTAGTCCACCATCTCTCAGTTCATCTATCCTCACTCTACAGAAATTGTAAGACATGTTAGTTTATTCTGACTGATTAACAATCAAAATATTAACCAATATATTAACTTATAATGCTTAACCCTTTGTAACACGCTTTGGTGTGGTACTTCTTTTAAGTGTGAAATTATGCTCTACAATCATGGGTTCTCTATTATCCTGTTGGAACATATTACGGTTCTATTGTTAATACATATATTGTGTTTTACAGAATATGTCCCTGGATGCTAAACTTGTAGCCCTTGCCAAACCTGTTGAGACTACTCAGCTGAAGGAACTGGTTGGTCGCCCCGCCTCTCTAATTACAGGGGCAAGGAAGGTCAACACGCGTTATGGAAAGACGGCTGTGGTCCTAGATATCAAGATGGACGATCTGACAACAACATCTGTGTTTCTACCGTCAAAATATGGTGAGCTAGAGGACGCTGAGGTTGACCAGTTAACAGTGGAAGGATACAAACTACTAATCACAGCAAACGATGGATCATCCACCCCAAACATTCAGATTTTTAAGTAATTTTTACTAATTGGAGAGTAGCTTAAGATTAAATTTCAAATTTTTTATGGTTATGTTTATATGTAATTGTATTTAGTAAGAAAGTAGCCAATAAAATATATTGTTATATCCATAAAAATCTATTTTTCTCATTTACCTTTCCACTAAGTGATTAGACACTGGCCAGTGAATATTTAGATCTGTAGTTTTGTTAGTTTCATCGTTTGTAATTTCCATCACCACATTGATCTAGTGGTCAAACAGAAAAGCATGGAAACCGTCTTTGAGGTCATATTACTGATAGAGAGTAACAATAGTAATATAGCTTGGTTAGTACTGAAAACATTTCATTATATGTCTAGTAAAACTGGATATAATGTTTGAGATTCCCACCACCACCATATGGTCAAACAGAAAAGCGTGGGAACATTCTGTGAAGGTATATGATATATGTTGGTACTAAAAAGCTACCATATAACATTAAGATATACAATGAATAGTGATTAGGTTAGTAACAGTGATTAGAATCCAAACCACCACATGATCAAACAGAAAAATAAGCAGGAACCAACTGTAAGTGACTTGGTACTGTTTGAAGTTCCCACCACATCACTTTAAACACATGATTAATCAAAAAAGGCACATAAACATCTAACAACTACCACCACAAAGGCTTGTATAGACACGTTGTATATAGATTAGATCAATAAACACTGTGATGATTCGAGAATACACCATATAAGATAATAATTAAGTTGGTATCACTTTACCATTAAGACTACATACGAGAAAAAAATTATTATTAGTGTCTAAAGCTAGGTTAAGACACATTAGTTGATGTTGAAACACATGACCCTGCCATCTTAAAAAAGGGGCATGACACTTGAAACACTCTGACTGTTGATCAAAGGAACTAACTTGACACCACCATCTTAAAAGGTGCATAGCTTAGAGGAGAAATGTACCCTCTGATTGACTAAAAAGACATCATGTCACACCAGATCCCGGTTCAATTGTTGGTTACTTCTATGAACCTTTTATCCTAGGAAGATTCATCAGTCTGTTACTTGGTAGCATATAATAAAACTAAACCTTTTCATAGGTGCCACCATCTTGAAGAATTACATGCTACATATGCTTTAGAGAAACAGTACACCCCAAAAACAGTCATATTAAATATATCATCAGTAAAAGAGGGGCATGGCTAAGAGAGAAAAGCCACTCTCTGATTAGTTAGCAGAAGTTGTATGACACCACCTTCTTAAAATGTGCATGCCTTAGATGGCAAAACTAGCTCACTAGCTAAAGAGACATCACAGGACAACACCATCTATGGCTTAGAGAAAGTTGTCACTCTCTGATTGGCTAAAGAGTCATCACAATCATGAAAGGGATGTGGTTTAGAGAGAAAATAGCTCACTGACTAAAGAGACATCATGTGACACAACTTACAGGGAATAGTTACTCTGTGATAGGCTAGAGTGACCCTCTGATTGGCTAAAGAGTCATCACGTGGCATCACCATCTTAAAAGAGGTGTGGCTTTTTGATAATAGTAACCCCTTATTAGCCAAAGAGTCATCACGTGACCATCTATAGCTTAGAGAAAATAGGCACCCTCTGATTGGCTAAAGAGACATCACGTGACACCACCATCTTGAAAGGGGCTGGGCTTTTGGGTAATAGTCACCCCTTATTGGCTAAAGAGCCATCACGTGACCATCTTTAGCTTAGAGGGAATAGGTACTCTCTGATTGGCTAAAGAGACATCACGTGACACCACCATCTTGAAAGGGGCATGGCTTTTAGGTAATAGTCACCCCTTATTGGCTAAAGAGCCATCACGTGACCATCTTTAGCTTAGAGGGAATAGTCAACCTCTGATTAGCTAAAGAGTCATCACGTGACATCACCATCTTGAAAGAGGCGTGGCTTTTAGGTAATAGCCACCTCTTATTGGCTAAAGAGCCATCACGTGACCATCTTTAGCTTAGAGGGAATAGGCACTCTCTGATTGGCTAAAGAGACATCACGTGACACCACCATCTTGAAAGGGGCATGGCTTTTAGGTAATAGTCACCCCTTATTGGCTACAGAGTCATCACGTGACACAACCATCTATGGCTTAGAGAGAATAGTTACCCTCTGATTGGCTAAAGAGACATCACGTGATACTATAATGGTGCACCTATACACTAGCTGCAAAATGCATAAAGCGCTAACTCATCGCAACACTGCACTCTGGTGGACATAATTGTACCTACAGTGCTGCAATCTGGTGACAAAAAATCCAACTTCGTTACGACTATTATATTATACCACCTTAGACTCTTGCTCTACAGACTGACGTCATAGCTCAATAGCTAACACTCCCGCCTCACATGCTGGAGACCCAGGTTCGATTCCCGACTACTCCTAAAAACTTTTTATCACACTCTTAACCTCCAAGGACAAACCTAATTAGTCAACACCATGATAACAAGCTTATCTTGACCTCAAGGTCACTACCAATTAGACAACAAGCGTATCTTGACCCCAAGGTCACGATAACAAGCTTATCTTCACCCCCAAGGTCAATGACCCAGTTCAAGGTCATTTTGGGTTATCCTCCCATGGGGTCTACTCTCAGCGATGCTATCTTGGGTCTGATACGCCAAGGAGATATATCTCCCAGGTTTATCTTGGGTCTGATACGCCAAGGAGATATATCTCCCAGGTTTATCTTGGGTCTGATACGCCAAGGAGATATATCTCCCAGGTTTATCTTGGGTCTGATACGCCAAGGAGATATATCTCCCAGGGGGACCGCCCAATTGATTACGGATATGATCAAAACGAGCATGACTAGGTACTAAACTTGATTGGCTATGCATATTTTGCTATCTTCAACCCTGGCAGTCTATCAAATACAAAATAAAAAAACTGTTTTAACAATAACCTCAAAAATGATATTATATATTCTGTTTTACTGAAAATATACTTATATCCATGTCGTATATTAAAGAGATTGATTAAAGACAACAAAAACATGTGACCCATTACATTATAAAATTATATTTTCTAGATAACAATGTGTGTTATTATTTAATTGGATTATATCACTATTGTAATTCATCTAATGTTTGTTTTGATTACCTAAACGATCCAGTGAATTCTAATTTAACGAAGTATTGGAACAAGTTAAGTTAAATTATTTAAAACTAAGCCCATAGCATTGCTTCATTAATAATTATTAGTAACCTGACAATAAGATTGGTGATACACTGATTCAACTTTGCAACGATTATAATTTAACTGAATATTTCAATGCAAATTTTATAGACATTGGTAAAAACATCTAGAATTTTCTCATCTCTTGTTAAATAATACTTTCTTAATTGTATACAAGTATAGGTGGAGGGAGTAAAAATGATTCTAAAAACAATTATTAATGTGGCATGTTACAATAATGGGAAACCTAGTACAGTGTTCCTATAAAGTGTAAAACTATTAATTGTCAAGGTGAACCAACTGATAAGTGATAGTAACATTCCACGGATCATTTGGTTTTAGATCTAACGAATAGTCTTGATAATGAAAGGTAATATAAAGGTAATATTGTTTGCTGAATTTTATTCCATCTCGATACTCACAGAAATCTGAGCTGAATAAAAGGTATCTTTCATAGAAACATCATACTATTTCATATCGGTTATATTGTTAGCTATTTAACATACATTTGAAACAAATTGCTTTACATTATTTACATGTTGTAACATATAATTAGTCTCGAATTTTAACAAAGGGCTTATGTATTCTATTTAATTAATCACTAAGTTTTGAAAATATGAAATAATTTACCCATGGAGCTAAAAGAAATACAACATTTAATAATGCTAGTATTTGAAATGGTCTGTTAATAGCCAGGCACATGTATTTTTATAAACTAACTTTGATATAATAATATTTTGCTTTTTTATGCTGTGTATTCTTAAAAAAAGGTATTAAATTTATTCTATTTAATTTTAATATTTTTCTTTTTAATTGAGAACAAAGTTATTTATACCTATTTAGGTATTATTATGGTCAATTTTGTACCGTTTTATCAATTTACATGATATTTCATGTTTATTTCAAACCATACACTAGTGTTCTTTCTAACTAAACCAACTAAATAGTCTGTTACCTTTTAGCAACCATGAGGGCAGAGTTCCTAGCAGTTATGTCTCTTTTGGTATTTGCTGTGAGCCGAGGAAGCAATGAAAAAATCCAGGTCTGTTTTTTTACGTTTATTTACTAACATAGGTAAAATTCTTATCCTAGGGCGTTATAGTAAAAACGCAAGTTCAAAAATAAACTCGTCTTTGATCATACAAAATTTTTATTACAACAGATTTACCACAAACAGTTTTAAAACGAAGTAGAAAGTTAAATAATTATATATGTTTAGCTGTCCCTCTACGTCGTTGGCTCTTTTACGTTTATCGTAAGGAAATGGGTTGGAGTTCTGGTCTTGTAACTGTTAACGAGGAGCTCTTTTTATGTAGAATTAATAATTTATATTGCAATGACAAATGGCATCATTGACTTTAATTCATTCCACTTGGGATAAAGCCAGCTAATTCAGATTTGTAAGCACTCACTTCGGCAAAAGCACTCAATCACACGGGCTATCAATTTGTAATTTTTAATTATCATATAATATCAAAGTTTTTTATGCTTTTTGTTATCTACGACTATTTTGGTAAATTTTATATAAATTTTGATCTATGTTGTTTATTGCCTCTAGGGTCCTCAAAACGAATAAGTCAATCGGTCCCGGGGCTAGGTCATACCATGGGAAGTACGGTAATAGCTTATTCAATATAATTCGCTGAATCATATTCACCAGCCTTCAATTTAATCAACCTGATCAAACAAATTTAAAAACTGAACCATCTATAAAGACAACTTTTCCGGTACTATAGACTGAAAGATATCCGATAATATGATAGGCGTATTAGGAATATAAGTGGCAGTTAGCGGAAGGTTTAGGTACAGTCCTAATCACCACATTTCTATATGTTTTTTGGGTCGCTGAACACAAATATGAGGTTTGCGGACAGATATTATGCCCCGAACATTGTTAATTTTGTGAAAAACCTTAAAA